ATTAGGATGACTATTTTGGCGCGCAACAGATTTTGGCGCATAAGATATCTCACATCGGAAATTAGAACTATTATATAAGAGAGATCTTGAGACTGGTGTCAGAAATTCGACAATGATACCGAATAAAATTTTTGTAAGAGATGATAGCATTAATGGTAGAAATTCACGTTGAATAATTGTTTTTTTTTTTTCTAATTATAAGAGAAATTGTGGCATTGTTGTTAGAAATTCTACATTGGTAATATGTTGGAATCAATATATTTTTTACTAATTATAGGAAAGACAGTGACATTGATGTTTGGAAAGACTATACTATATGACATTGATGTTTAATATTCTTAATTGACAATAAATTAGAACGTAGTCTAGTATATAATGGATATGAGCTAATTCATTTGTTGCTTATATATTTATTATGAAACGGAAGCACAAATTTTGACACCATTTGTGTTTTGGTTTTAACATAAACTAATTGATTTTGATATCTAAAACCTCTGGACTTGAAAATCAAAACTTGTAAGTGTTTTACATTACATCAACCAATAAATCCGAGTAACCAACGGAAAGACTTGAAATTGTAATGTTTATTAATGAAGTTTTTGACCAGTGAATTTGTCTTTGTGATGACTTTAGGAAGATTTCATTGGATGATATATCGAGGAAGGGATCGATGGATCTGAGGCTACTCCATGGTGTTGCATATGGTCGACCATGGTTTGGGAAATGGGGTTATATGTTCTCTCATGGAAGCTTTGGGATCAAAGAAGATCAATATAGTCGAGCTATTCACATTCTTAGCTCTATAGAAGTTGACAAGATTATGGAAGATTTCTCTGGAACAAGAGACGAGAGAGTGATGAACATGATCATAGGATTTTACAGAGTATCCAGTGAAACCCCATTGGTTACTCTCTCTGATTTGCTTCGGTTCATGATTGCTTTCAGTTCTAATTCTCCTGTTCAGAAAAAGACTGCAATGGCATTAGCAGCGATGTCTTTAGATACTGCAGTTTTGAAACCGATTCTTAGAGATGATGACAACACTAAGGTTAGCTCCTCTTCCTCATCTCTCGATCTGGATTCCGGCACAGACACTGTCCTTGATGATCATCAGGAGACTACAGTCATTCCCCCGAAGTATGTCTCATTTGATACTTTGGCCGCGGCAGAAGCTTCTCGGTATCCTGGAAGGAGACTGAAGGAGGCAGCACAAGCGGTTGTCAGAGTGTTTGAAGGGGGAAACAGCGTCATTACTCGGCAGGATCTTCGCGAGACTGTTAGAAGTAGTATTGGTGATACAGGGCTGATTGATTTCTTGCTCAAACACATTGATAAAGTTCTAATAGGTGACAAAATAGTTCAGAGGTTCACAAACCCGAAAAACCGTATGCTACAGTTCTCCCTCCGGACAATCAATCCCCGTGCTCTGGAACAAGAATCGAAAAACAAAAGGAAGCAGAAACCGCGAAAAACAAGTGAATGGAAATCCAACACTCCTGGACTGAGTGCGTACGATGACACTTTATATCTGTATCAGAATCTCTTGGTAACTTATCTTGATTCAGAGATATACAGTAATGCCTCTGAGGTTATCTTGAACTCCAAGAGCTTTGTGAAAGAATGGCCTTTACCGTCTTACCACCACAAGGAACAAGACCTTTTAACAGTAAGCTGCCAAGTTCTCCCCAATCACGAAGAACTACTCAAAGAATTCTCCCGGAAACTGCCTCCCGGAGAACTTGTGATCGTTCCGCAAAACGCAACCATCAGAGAACTGAAATCTGCAGTAGAGAAAGCTCTTAGGGACACTTACTGGGTAACGGATGAACTCGAAGTGTTGGAGATAAGAAACAAAGAGCTAGAGAAGTTAGAAGATAGTTGGAGTCTAGATAAGATTAAGACAGAGGAGTTTCTGGTGAAAGGGTTTGGTCTAGATACAGTCACGGAGCTAAGGTACGAAGGAGGTTTTGATGACTGGACTGTTGATTGCAAATGCGGAGCAAGAGATGATGATGGTGAGAGAATGGTGGATTGTGATGCTTGCAAGGTTTGGCACCACACAATGTGCAATTCAATAGAAGACGATGAAGATGTGCCTCCGGTGTTTCACTGTTTCAGGTGTTCTGGAGATAGCTTGCGTGCCAAGAAACGTACCGTCACCAGTCGCTTCGCCCTAACTTGCGAAACAAGCCAAGAACGTATTGCAAGAGCGTCCATGATTTGATTATCCTATATTTATTATAATAACTCACCTTTCATGGTGTAAATTTCCAGAAGCTATATAGATCGAAAATGATCTCTAGTTAAGACTTTTTTTGCATAAAAAAATATTTGCTTCA